TGGTTCACGCGCATTACGCGCCAGAAGAGACGAAGCAACGTTCACACGTTAGAAGCGATGATCATCGGAGAGTTCGTGAGACACCCAAACAACTTCTTTAAGGAGTTTCCCATATTCTTTAGATGTTTATGTATTGTTTAAGGAGATGCATGCAATTTCAGGGCCATTTCTCGAGTGTATTGCCTTGGGTTAGACTCAAGAAGCGTCTTCAGAGTATCAATATCAATTCCAACATGTCGGCTCCTGCCATCACAGTTTTTAAGGGTAAAGTCACCTGAACGAAATTTGCTGAACCATCGTTGAGACTAACGAGCGTTCAAAACATTTCCATAATCTTCTTTGATATTATTTGTGGCTACAGAGTCGTTGTTTCCCTTCTTGTATTCAAACAGCATTACATGCCGAATGTGTGTCTCGTCGTGTGCAATCACTATAAGATATTAGAGTATACTAAACTTTACACATTATATAGGCTACACTAACGTGACGTTTAGGCGGTTGGTTAACTGTTATATGTGATGTACGTTTTTGGAGGGTGGTTAATGAAAGTGTTCCAAAACGCGACATTAATTTCTTGACGACCTAATAAATACGAATTTCAGTACTACAATTCATCTTTCGTAATTTTTCATTCGAGAAAAATGCAAGCTAACCGTAGTTTAGGTCTTGTTCGTTTTCAGTTTGGATGATAATTTGGTTAAATGTTATATATCCTGGCAAGAAATCTGAGTTATACTTAAAAAACAACAACGAAAGAAACTAAAAGCAGAAAACTAACAGAACACTAGGCTTAACAATCTTTGGAATTGGAAGAAATATACTGTTAATCAACAACAACTGTGAACAAAAACATGGAAAAAATCGACATTCACGTATGATTTTTGAGTTTTTTTAGTTTGACGTTTTATGATTTTTATTTAAATTTTTTACGCTCTAGAATGCGACTAGAACTTTGACTTTTCTTAAAAGTTTAAAGCCCCCCAGTGGCACAGCGGTATGTCTGCGGAGTTACAACGCTATAAAAGTTAAAATAAAAGTTAAAGTGTTAAAAAGATTGTTTGTTTGTTTGTAATTAAGCATAAAGCTACACAATGGGCTATATGTGCTCTGCCCACCACGGGTATCGAAACCCTGATTCTAGCGTTGTAACTCCGCAGACATACCGCTGTGCCACTGGGGGGCGGTGTTAAAAAGAAGTAATCATTTATTAGAATGTTTCTCACTAATGAAGGTAATTTGGCTGAAACTTTGATCGTATACTTTATTTTCCTTTTTAGCGAATTTAACCATTTTTTTTTTTTTCTGTTTTATCACATTGCTATTCGTGTTACTTTGAACCCATTGACGACCAACTTCTTCAATATATACCATGTCGCCATAAATAAACGTATAATACGTTGAAATAACTTATACGTAGTTTGGTACAATTCCTAGTAAAGTTGTTCTTATTTCAGAAATTGAATATTTAATGAGTTTTTTTATAATGTTGTTTTTAAGAGGTTGCTTTAGTGAGGCATCGTTCATGTATTTTATATTTATGACAGTACGGTGACAGCTCTTGATAAAACGCAGTGATCTGCTAAAATATGTGCAACTTAGTGACCTCTTGCGGTGAAGTACGGGGATTTGCTCTAACGTGTGCATGTTATGAAATACATGAACTTGAAACTTTTTATTTCTATCATGCACATGTTAGCTACTTCAATATAAAACATATTTTGTGTTACTTTTAGATTTTGGATACGTTTAAGACTAGGCAAATTAACAAACTCATTATTCTTCTAAGAATCTATTTAGCTTATAATGAATAACTTAAATTAATAAAATAAAAGGTGGCGCTATTTAATTTTCGTGGAACGTAAGTATTAACGGAAATATAATTTACCAGGCATCAGTATAACATAGATTAAAGTGACCTTCTTATATAGACTAAACGACATTAATAAGGTAAAATATACATATATCAGCTTCTAACTGTTTAACGCCTACCTTTATTAGCAAATCTCCCTTTATCTGTGGAAACTGCCGGTCTGAATACATTTCTTCGGCCATTGTATGGCGGACTTACCACTAAGTTAGACTGACCAAGCGTAATAAAACTGTTTGATCCTAATGTTTAATAGGAACACCATATAGGACAGTTGGAATGTTATTAACCTTACAAACTTCTCGAAAGAACTTGCGCGCACGTGTGTTAAACTTCAGTCATCATACACGTTTTGACGCCTCTGATGTTTAGGCGCTCACATAAGCGCTTCTCTATCGTCAGCTGACGAGGCTGCGATTCTTCCGTTAAACCACCCAATCACGGCTTCGCTTGTTGCAACTATGATTTCTGTAGAAATGACGAAACACGATCGAACTTCTTGCTGTCCAAAATAAAAGCTGAATCCGGTAAAACAGCACGTAAGCCAGATACATACAACCTTTAAAAGGAGTCAATTTTATAACAGGGAACTTTTGAATCACAGTAATTAAATGTGAAAATAAAAATTACAATTCCGAGTCACTGTTCTATGCAAATTTGAGAATAAGTGTTTAAAATTGTGAATCAATTTAACGAATTAAAATGCGTAAAAGTTCATGTCAGTATAAAATATATATATATATATACACATATATATATACACGACAAAATCAGAAAAAAAAAGGCAAACGATAGAACTTACTGAAGGTTAACTTCAACATAAATAGGCCAAACTTAATGTAAGAGCAAGAAGTAGTATATACTGATCAAAAATAAACACAACATGTTATAACGACTACAATTATATTATCAACGTGGTTGGTGGGAAAGAGTGACGTTTTGACAAACTGTAGTCACAAACTGCTGATTTCCAAGGGTGAGTCTGTATTTAGCGATGGTTTAATAGTGTTGATGTAGAAAAATGATTTTATTTTTCTTCTTTTGCAGAATTTATTTGAGTCGATATGTCTGCAATTGTCCCAGTCTGTTTTATGTCCGGTCAACAAGGCATGTTATAATAGGGCAGAATTCTGTGTTTTATTAGTCTTGTTATGTTCTTTTATTCTTGCCTCAGTGTGTCTTCCAGTTTATTTGATACAAGCCTGTTTACAGGGACCTGATATTATACAACTGGTGTTTTCTATGTTTGTTATCAGATGTTTTTTTTGTCAAGTTTTGACAAGAACAGATCCAAGTGTTCTGTAATATTTTCAAATAGTGTTGAACTTATTTTTCTTGCCTGTTGCACGAGTTTGTAGTTTAACGTTTTTCTTGGTGATGAAACTATAACGGTACGTGTTCTGTTTTAAACACTATATGATATGTCGGCGTTTGGTTTCGATGGAGTTTTCACTGTAGATATTTTGAGCTCTGTTGTTCAAGCACTTAATAATACTGCGTTTAATAAAAGGTGGCTGGTAAGTCTGGAAATGTGAGTATCAATTAGTATGAGTTGGTTTCTTGTATATGGTCGTGTCGAGCCTGTCATTCTGTCCACTCATGAAAATATCAAGGGAAAGAAGGTTGTTGTTATTCTCGATTTCCATGGTGAAATGAATTTTGTTGTATATGGAATTAAGGTGTTGTAAGATAGTTAAAATTTTTCATGACTATGGGCCAGATAACAAATGTGTCGTCAACTTAGCGTCTTTAAAAGCTGGGTTTCTTGTCGTTAGAAGAGACAAAATTTTATTCAAAAGCTTACCTGATGTGTCTGTTAAAACTGGAGAGAGAGTGGTGATCCCATGGCAAGCCCGTCTGTTTGTTCAAATAAGTAACTGTTGTGTTGAAAAACTGTGGATTGTATACAAACTGTGGTTAGTTCCATAATAGCTTTTATCTTCGTGCCAGTTCTGCATGTTTGATGATACAGAAGGTTTCTGTAGTTGGAATGTTCGTGAACAGGTCTGCATGTTTGATGATACAGAGGGTTTCTGTAGTTGGAATGTTCGTGAACAGGTCTGCATGTTTGATGATACAGAGGGTTTCTGTAGTTGGAATGTTCGTGAACAGGTCTGCATGTTTGATGATACAGGGGGTTTCTGTAGTTGGAATGTTCGTGAATAGGTCTGCATGTTTGATGATACAGGGGGTTTCTGTAGTTGAAATGTTCGTGAACAGGTCTGCATGTTTGATGATACAGAGGGTTTCTGTAGTTGGAATGTTCGTGAACAGGTCTGGATGTTTGATGATACAGGGGGTTTCTGTAGTTAGACTGTTCGTGAACAAGTGTATGATATTAAAACTGACGAGGACATCCTGGGATAAAATATGTAGGGCTCTGAGTTGTTCATTCATTCCAACAACCACGCTACCAGAATCACCAGCTTATCACGTCACGTCCACTTCAATCCTCTTGGATACCATACAGACGCCTTCAAAAACTGGCGCAATAAGAAAAAACTACAGACACATGGGAAAAAAATTTAAAGATCCGTTGACACAAACACCATTCAAGGACATACAAAGCATAGACACATCAACGGAAAAACCTCCCGCCTCCGATCGTCGAACATAGACAAAAATAAGTACTCGAAGTAAGCAGACTCGAGCCAACAGATTCAGAGCCAATTCTCATAATCACAACATACATCAAACACCCTTTTAAAGAAGTTTATCAGGCTTCATGCGCAAGCTAAAGTATCCAGTTAGCGCCGACGATGACGACCAAGAAGACTCCAAAGACAGCCTATTCCATTGGTGCAAGCCTCTTTGAGCACACAACAATCTAAAAGATATATTTAATGATTATTCCAACGACGCTCTTATAAGCCAAACGACATTTTGCGTTTTCTCAAGTTTTTATTAATAAAATATCTATGTACGTTCTTATTAATCAAGTATTTTTTCTTCCAGTCTAGGTTTATAGTTTGGGTACTGGCTGGATAGAATATTAGGCACCCAACAGATGAAAGTGGGTTTTGCTTAAGGTACTCCCATTTTCCTGCTACATCAATTTTTTAGGTATTGGATCTTTTCATCCCATCCCTGTTTTGTTAGATCCTGTGATCACCCCCATTTTTGTTTGTTTGCAAGGATGGAGCTTACATAAAGCGAAAAACTTTCGCAAGATCCTCATGATGAATCTTCCCACAAAATGATCGGGCGGCTCTTTGGGATTTTCCGGTTATCGACTAGATGGGGCGAAGGCTTTTTTTTTTTTTAATGAAGACTGCCGATTACATCTTCCAAGTCACGAGCTGGGTGAAAATAAATTTTCTTTTTCTGTACGTTCTTGATTCTCTATAACCTAAATCCTTCCACGGATAAACTGAACTGAACGGTGCAAGCTGACCTGAAGACGGAAGTCTTTCGAAACATCGTCTTTTCTACTTGGGTTACTTTTATAGATTAGTTATCCAAGACTTTCTCTTCAAGTATCACTTTGAACATGCCAGTTGCTGTGCCAATTTCAACCTTGTTAATCAATATCAAACCTACATTGTTACAGAATTATGTAAAAACGTACACAGTAATGTAAAGACAAATAACTATTTCTATTCATTAAAAAAATCAAAGCAGGAACATAAATTTAGGTCTTAACTGACATTACACCAGAGAACATTTTAGTTCTTTTTTTTTTTCACGACTGAATTTATAATAAGAACAAAAATATTATATTAATAAATTGGATAATTTCTTCTCTAAGGCGACATCTAGTGGTATATTTTTGCTTTGCTTAAAGGCAAGAAAGATACTATTACTAATGAAAAATTTTCACCATTACCGGTAGCGTATTTTCAGGAAGTTTTGACTGAAGTGGAACTTGTATTTGTAAGCATAGACCTACACAATGACGAGTGCATCGTATCATATAGCAAATCTTCTTGAAAAGGTAAGTCTGTAATTTTAAATAAAGAATTTCTAAGACAACCGAGTTAAAGTGTCACAATCGTGGTGTAAATAATTTCAACCCCAGACCTGTTTTCCAGGTCGTTTAGGCTTACCATTACCAAAGCCAATACTGTCAGACTAATTCACAGATAAACATCAAATTATTACCACAATATCAGCACTAACGATGAGCAAGTTACAGTGAAAATTTATACTCGCTGGGAAATAGTATTGATTGTAATTAGCACTTGCATCTGCCACTACTTTTGTAGTACTACTACTAGTTCTACTTCTAGATTTCATTGTACCATTGTCTATAATTTGTAGACTGTAGTGTAAAAGTAACCTTGTACGTTCTTTTTGTATGCTTTGATGACTGTAAAAACGTGCTTTAAATTCTTTTTCCACAAAAACCACTGTGCTTATAAAATCAGGTGAAACTTGAAATGTTACTAAATCCAATTAGAGCTTATTTAGTGTTCTCAATAATTATTAGCAAGAACCAAGACACCAATAAAAAAAAAAGTTAGTTTTTGAAATAAGAGTGGAATTTATGATTGCCAAGTAGACAAGCTACATAACATAAGCAGTGCTAGTTTACCTACCTAAAATTTTGGTTGTCTGGATAAATGTCATTTAATAAGTGCCACATTTAAAGGAGAATATTTATATCATATTTTGACAAATATCTGTGTATTGTTGCCAGCTCTAAATGATAACTTTTTGTTTATATATATATATAATGAAATAAACAAGTCACGTTGTTTGTTCTATAGAATATTCATATTCACAGTTATCATTAGTTTCATAAAGGAATAGAAAGTGCAAAAAACATTTTTTGTTAAAAAAATAGGATTTTCATGACTTGATGACATTTTAAAACATTTTTTTCTAAACTAAAGTTTACCACCCTTCTAAAGTGATTTGTTATGTATCCATATTGTCTTTTTATGCGAGTCTTCCATTTATGGATAAAGACTGTTTTGTGTTTGAGATAAAGAATATCTTGATATCAAACTATCCACAAATTTCACTGTGTATAGCCTGAAGTGAGAATTAAGAACTTTTTCAAGATAAAGTACAGGATCAATATACTTCAGTGTTCTTACATTCCTACATTGTTTATTGATGTATGTATATTCTCAATATGGATGAGATTAAATGATAGCAACTACAAGTAAGAGAGCATTATGCCACAGTATGTTGTACCAACAACCAGTGATGTAAGAATGAAAGAGACTCTGGCAATGATGAAACTAAAACCAATATTGAACTCCAATTTATAAGCAATAGAAATTACATATATGTACACAAATAATTTAAGGGTAACAAGGGACCTGTTGGTCCATCTAGGCCTTCCCATTCACTAAATAAACTTTAAAATAAAGCACTCAAAACCAGTCCTTATTATTCAACTTTTTATCGAGCCTTCCCTTAAACTTGCTTAAATTACTTGCATCCACCACATATGAAGGCAACCCCTTCTAAAAGCTAACCAACCATTTAGAAAAAGAAAGCTGTTTTAGCAGATGACGACTTCTACCTTACCAAAATTTATTTTCATGTCCCTGAATTATACCATTCTCCCTATTAAATAAAAAAAAGATGACACATCGACACTATCAATTCCCTTAATCATAAATGCTCTATCAGATCCCCTTTTTTTATTTTTTCAAGATAAAACAATTTTAGAGATCTTAATTTGTCCTTTTATTGCAACCTTCTATTAACCTGCCTTTGAACCCTTTTAAAAACAGTTCAATGTTGTTCGTAATGTAAGAAACCCAAGATTGAACACAGTACCCCAAATGGAGCCTAACCAATGACTTATACAATGAAATTATAACCTCTATAGGCCTGTATTCAGTATTTTTAGTAATAAAACATAAAATCATGCCTCACCACTAGCAACAGCACACTGCTAGTATGACTTAAGAGACTGATGAACCAAAACATCAAGATCCTTTTCTCTCACAACACTGTTAAGGTTATTATCGTCAAAATTATACTTATAATTTACTTATAGTCCACATGCGTTATCTTTCGTTTATTATGATTAAAATCCATCCTCCATTTATTTATCCAACTCACTAAATGATCTAAATCCTTTTGTAAAGGATCATCATCAGCAGCAGCAATACCTAAAATGTCAATATCATCAGCATTTTTAAGCAGTTCATTGACTATTCTGTGGATTATGTCATTGATATAAATCAAAAAGAGCAAATGTACCAACGCTGAGCCCAGTGGTATCCCACTTGTAACAACCCTTTGCTTTCTTCCATCCAGCCAATTTTCTGTCCAATGAGCCAATCTATTCCCCACATCTCTAGAGATACCTTATTTTAACAAGTCTTTTATGTGGTACCTTGTCAAATGCATTCTGAAAACCCAGATACACCAAATCTATACCCTCATCTACATTAGAAATAAAATCTTCAAAGGATCTCAAGAGATTAGTTAGACTAGATTTTACCATAGTGAAACCATGCTGGATATTGGACAAAATTTTAAACTTTATTAAATTACTTCATATTTTATCAGACTTTCCAAAACTTTTCCAACCACTCATGTAAGACTAATAAACTTATAATTACTGGGACAATTTTTATCACCTCCGTTGAAAAGAGGAGTAACATTAGACAACTTCCGATCTTCTGGCACTTGCCTGCTATTAAAAGATTTAAAAAAATATATTTGTAAGTAGTTCACATATCCAATCCTTAATGTCCTTCAAAACTCTTGGAGAAATATCTGGCTCAGGAGTTTTATCATCCTTTAAACTTCCCAATTTTATCTTAACAAGCTGAGAATTAATGCGATCATGTTGTTTGATGGTGTTTCTATCTATCAACTGTTCAGGATGAAGAATATTACTTAAATATTTATTTGTAAATATTGGAGGAAAAGTAGAATTTAACAACTCAGCCATCTGTAATCTTCCGATAATAGAATATCTGTATTATCTCTCAGAAGCCCTACTCCCATTCTGACACTTTGGTTACCCTTAATTTATTTTTTAAAAAATCTTTATTACTTTTTCTACATTTTCATTCAACTTTTTTTTTCATGTATTTTTTTAATTTTTATTATTTCATACTTACATCCAGATGTTACCCAATGTCCATCCCATCAACCATTTCTATATTAGAAGTTAATAATATATCTAAAATGGCATTGTTTCTGATAAATTATCTGACAAATCTGTTCATCAAAGTGTGCATTCCACAATCTTTTACAGAGTGCATTTCAACATGGTAGTATACATTTACTGTCAAGAGTTATCTATTTGTTTATCCTCCATTGCTGATTTAAAAACAGTTTGTGGTAGAGTACAGTAAGAATCAGATATAATTTACAGGGATACTGAAAAAAATGTTTAGATATGCATTTCAGAGGCTGAAGAGTTTATGTAAGTACACAAAGTGTACAATGGCCAAAAGTATTTTTATCCTTCACACGAACATCACATTGCACTCTGATTTTTTTTTTGTATAACAGGCTTGTACATTTTACTAAAAGCTTGCATTATTTTGTAAAAAAAACGTAGTAATTACAGAATTATATTCAACATTCCTTCTCATACACTACATCATGCACATTGTTAACTGCATGGATTCTTTCAAACATTAGCCATCATTTGAGAAATGTTTTTGGTGTATGTGTATAACATGTCAAATGTTCACCATTAACTCATATTTCTGTAAAAGTAGGCTTATTTTCTTATGTTTATAACCCTCAAGCTGTTTTTAACTATAACTCTTCTCTTTAGCCTCTGTAATCTTTGCATTTTTATTCTGTATTTGTTGTATTTTGGTGAGATTAAGTGATTTATCATTATGATGCTGGTTGTTTTCTTAACACCTATACAAAACTAGTGTTAACTAGCTTCTTTTAAACATTATTGGATGCTGCAGTTGTCAGTATGTATGCACAACATACTACTTGTAGTCTCTTAACACCTATACAAAACTAGTGTTAACAAGCTTTTTTTAAACATTATTGGATGCTGCAGTTGTCAGTATGTATACTACAAGTAGTATATTGTGCATACATACTAACAACTACAGAATCCAATAATGTTTGAAAGAAGCTCATTAACACTAGTTTTGTATAGGTGTTAAGAGACTACAAGTTGTATGTTGTGCAAACATACTGACAACTGCAACATCCAATAATGTTTAAACAAAGCTTGTTAACACTAGTTTTGTATAGGTGTTAAGAAACTACAAGTATTATGTTGTGCATACATACTGACAACTGCAGCATCCAATAATGTTTAAAAAAAGCTCATTAACACTAGTTTTGTATAGGTGTTAAGAAACTACAAGTAGTATGTTGCTTTCATTATTCATTGTTTTTGAAAGATGATTTCACACACTTTGATGGAGCTGGGTGAATTGATCAATTAATAAAATCAAATACCTGTGAACAACAGTTACATCAAATAGTGTCTTGTAAACTAATAAAGTAATCAAAATTACTGTTAATCACTTGTAAACTAATAAAGTAATCAAAATTACTGTTAATCAATTAATATCATGAAAATAATGTACTAGTCAAAATTAGTGTTTTCTATTATTCCAACAGTCGATTGATCAGAATTATAAATTGATTGTCACAAAAATAATCAACTAATCAAAATTAGGGTTTCTGATTTTTTGCTGTTTTCAATTATTATAACTAACCAAGTAATCAAAATATTGCCATTATATTTGTTTGTTGTTGTTAATTACAAAGGTACATAATTTTGAAATGTTAACTAAAGAGAAAATAACTGGCTGGCAGCACCCACTGCCATCTGTAGCTTTTTAAGTGTTAAAGTATAAAAATCAGTATTTTTTTACAGTATCTGATGTTTCTGATTTAAAGTGTTTCTTCAGTGTTGTATGAGAAGGTACAGATATAGTGGAGGAATCCAGGGATTGTGGTCCCCCCATACATTTTTTTTCACCAGAAATTAATGACTGTACTGTTTAATGTTGTATAAGAAGGTACAGGTCTTGGAGGGTCAAGGAGTATGGACCCCCACATTTTTTTGTTATTGAGAAATTAATTATTTTTGCATATTTTCCACCCATTTTTTAGAAAATAATTGAATTATTTAATATTTTATTAGTAGATGCAGATTGAGGGGCATCAAAATCTCCAATTATTTAATTACCATAGAATTTTGAGTTTTTCTGAAACCAGCTAGAGTTATACCTGCAACCAATAAATGATTATTTCTAAGCTAATGCAGCAACATGAGCATCAATTAAATGTTGTCCTGGTCAAATTTCATGCCTTGGTTCTTTCCACACACACTAATAATGTATCTAGACTAGATATACGTTTTCTTCAGTTAGCACTTTTAGAACACCTGGAGTTCTTATAATGTAGAGTTGTTAAAGAATTGATTTTTTATTGTTTAGAAGTTAGAATTCTCACAAGAAAGAAGTTTTCATATTTTTTTTTGTCTAAAATAAGTGAAATTGCAAGTGGTATGAATGTATAAGTAATGACTTTTCAAAAAGTTTTATCTTTCAAAATATGTTATTCTAATTTTTACGTTGTTTGACTTTAAATCTAGGCTACTTTGAGAATTTCCAAAAAATACTAGGTTTTTATTTTGGCTAAGTACTCATTTACTTAATAAATAAAATCAGTTATTGGTATTTATTTCCCTTGATTACTTACAAAGTGTTCGAGTTACTGCATAATTATACAACACTTAATTTCACAGCATTATTATAAATACTTATAAACCTATAAAACAGTATGGAAATGTGTACATGGCATTGTTGCGACAGGTGACTGATAATTTAATAAATCTCTTATTGTTTAAAAATGTTAAATACTGCAGTTGTGATGACTGCATGATAAATTTTTTGTAAAAAGTTTGGGATTAAAAATAACTTAATTCTAAATTATTGTGCCTGAAGTCTAAAGACAGGTTTTGTTTTTCTGGCTTTTAATATATTTTCATCTCTGGATAAAATATATTTTGATGCACAAATTTTAAAGTCAATTTCATATGTTAATTCTAACTATATTTTAATAATTTTAACTTAGATATTTTAGAATCAATATTTTATCATTTTCTGACATTTACTTGGAGTAACTTATGAAGGAAAAAAATTCATTTTTTATTTCTGCACAACTGCCAAGAGTTTTGCCTGTAAACAAAACAAAATTGCTTGTCAATGTTCTTTTAGAACCTTTCTGCTCATCCAAAATAATATATTTTTGTTAATAATTTATTATCCCTTGAGAATATATTTTTCCTTTTTCTTGATTGTTAAGCATTTTCCTTAGTTTTTGTACACGCCTTGGTTGAAACCTTGCTATGATGTCATATCAAGTGGTTTAATCCTTTACCAGTGAAACAGCTTTGAAAGAAGCTATAAGGAAAGTTTAATATGATTGGATAGAGTAAGAATTACACTATTACATAATAGTACAATAAATAAATACATATAAATAGGTGTAAGAGTTTTTTTGTAGTTTCTATAAATCTTTTTTTCAGTTCCATTCATTTGTGAAATGTGAAAGTATTTTTATGTTAAATTGTATCTGTTTGAAAGCTGCAGAAACTTTTTTCATTGAGAAGACATAAGATAAAGATAAAACATATACCTGTTCAATGGGTAACAAAGAACTCTTATCAGAAGTTTTAGACATAAACAAACTTACAATGTTTAGAGAAGGTTTTGTCATCATCAGGTACAAGTATTTTACTTAGACACAAGAATACGCACACTACGGTATGAAACAAAGTCACATGAATGGAGATTGCTTAAGGCTTAATAAATGTATCTTGTTGATATTTGATCCTTTGTTTGAAATTAATGTTTTTACCTTTTAATAAATATATTATGGTTTTATTGAGTCAGTGTTTGTACATTTTTTTTTTGTTTACCAAAAAAATAAAATTATCATCAAATCAGATAAGTTTAATGTTTAGTGAGTATGGTAGGCATTTACAAAATATTCTAATGACTCAAAACTTTAAGGAATATTATTTTTATGTTTATCCTATTCAAACTATGTACATAAACAAATTGGCTAACTTGCTACTTAGTTATTTCTAATTGTAATTGTGATATGTTGTAAGTAAAACATGTTTTCATCATCTAATTATAAATTTATTTGATTTACAGAAGATCATTGTGGGATTAGTGCATATTTTAGAAACAAACAATGGCAACAGTGTGGTAGCATTTAATGAACATTAGTGATTCATTCGTCAAGTAGAAAAGGTTTAGATTACATCGGCCTGTGATGGTTTTATTGTCTTGAAATTTTTACATGGTATACAGTAATTCCTGTATGCTGAATCTGAAAATATCAATTTTTTTCCATGAAGTACAGATTTTTCACAAAATGTCATAACGCAATACATAAAAGAAATACCACAATACATAATTTTGAGACTACAAGACGTAGATTTCAAAAAAGATCAGGATGAATGAGGATGCATATTCATTTGACATCAATGTTCTTCCCTTTTCTTCAGTTTGTTTGTATTTTTTTTAACAAACATAATAATAAAAAATGCTCATTGTAGTAAACGAAATAATAATTTGATCTAAGTAAGTTTTTTTTCTTCACGATTTGTAAAAGATTCTCACTTGACAGAAAAATATGAATATTATTTTTTAAATCTGATAGCTGAATTATGGAAAATCCATTATTAAAACTACTTTTATGAAGTTTAAATTTGCAGGCCTGTGTTATTTAAAAAACTGTGGGAAAATATATTTTTTTTGCAAAATGTACAAATGATGACCTTCAAAAGAGGTCAATGATATGAAACCAAAAATAATTCATAAATTACTTGTAAAAAAATAAATAATGTTAATGGAAGTAGCAGTATTAATGCCATGTTAGACTAATGCAGCGATTGAAAAAGTTATGAATGCAGTCACTCTTTTTTATATTTTTTATTTTGTACTTGTTTGTACAGGAGTATGGGGCTTATACTAAATTGATTACTGACCCTGTTGAATAATCACTTAGCAAATATCACTAATCACGAGCTCTACATATTGCCAAGTTCCTTCAATTATATTTCATGAAATTCTTATGCCTAATGTAGTTAATATTTCCATGCTGTTACAAATATTATATCCTTTGTTTTGGTTCAGGAAGTGTCTTTAAAAGTATTTTATTGTACTATTTTCATGTAATTTTTGTTGTTGCAATGCCAGATATTTGTATATATTAGAATTGTACATGTACAATGCAGTGAAAGAATGAACAATTAACATATTTTTATGAATGTTTTGTTTGTAATCTCTCAGTAGCAAGAATATATTTTTGTGAAAATAAATACGAGACTAAGACCAAATCTTGCCTTTGTGAAATATATTTTAATCCTCAATATAACTTTTCGAGATATTATTTTATTCTTTTTGATCTAGATGACCTCTAGTGACAAAGATTTTCGGTTTATGGCAACCAATGATCTAATGGGTGAGCTACAAAAACAATCCATTAAACTAGATGATGATAGTGAAAGAAAGGTAAGTAAAAGTATATTCCAAAATAAATTGATGTAGTAACATTGCTATTTAAAAGTTCCTAAACACTAAAAATAATAGCAGATGGGCTTTAAAAATATAAATAACTTAAGACAAACAAATCCTAAGAATGAGTAAGATAATGGGATTTAAATACTTATGCTATTATTTTAACATGTTAATAATTGTTTCCCTCTGCTAGAACTCACCATTAACCTAGAAAATATCCTAGTTGTTCTTTCAGCTTAAGCTGTACAGTTTTGAGCTCTCTCTGTTTTGTTTAAAGGCATCTATAGTTCAAGTGTGAAATTCTGAATATTCTATGTTTTAACTTGCAAACTAATATATAATAATTTATAATCCATAAATTTTACATTATTTTGTTTTCTGTGGGAATGGCACAGAGACTGAAAAAAATTGTGTGCGCTGTTAACTTAGATTTGCTTTTCTAAATAAGGTTGGCTGTAGTGGTATTTATTCAGTTCCTGTACATTCTTGCTTTCAAAACATACCTCTGCTTACACTATAGCTTTTTCCACTCTTTGCCCATCTAAGCATTAAGAATGCTTGCTCCAGTCTTTTATACCCATCTTGAATGCCCTTGGCAAATTTTAATTTGCAAATTTCTCCACCAACTTCAATGCTTCCTCTATCCAGGTATTGTATATAAGCACCTGATTCAGATAATGTAATCACTTTTTCTCAACAAAGCATTTGGAATGGGTTTCTATAAACAGGAGTGCTGTAATTATTCACAATTTATGTAACGATGTTGAACGTGGTTTGTATTACTATGGTTGTATCTTTGTACCGACGGGTATGAATTACCAAGTTAATGTTTCTTCTATAGAGGTTATTCAGACAGCTATGGCTTACAGTGATTTTATTTTAAACATCTTTATCCACTATCTTTTGGTATTCCAAATATCAGAAAGTTTTTGAATCCTCAGTACTACCAGGTCTACACTAAACCCTTCATATTCTTCGACCCAGATAACCTTTTCAATTACCGAATTGGGTTTTTATAGTTGTTTTATATTGTGTTTTTTGTTGTTGGCTTGTGGATGTCATCGGTTGGGTGCAATTCATGTGCTTTTGACTCCTTGTCTTTCCACATTTGTCCTGCTTTACCCCAATAAGTCTTTTCTTCCCAAGATACTGACAGCTAGGGTAAGGGAAAGATCCTTCTCACTGATTCATTTGTCAGCCATTTCTCACCTTTATGAATGCTCCAATCCTGACAGTTTGTTATGTCCTATTAGGGCCCTCACGCGTTATGTAGTTTGTACTAACTCATTTTGAGGTAGTAGGAATCAATTGTTCATTCATTGGAATCCTTTCATTTTCCCGGGACTTATCTCCCATTACCTTAACATGGTGGCTTCACAGGGCCTGTAATGGATTATAGTTACAGGAGAGGACTTTTGTGTGTCATTTCACCAGATTTGTCATATCTCTATGTCAATAGCCACCCATTTGAATTGCTTTCTGGAAGACATTTTGCAGCCTGGTATGTGGACTACTCCTAATACTTTCCCATTTCATTACTTACATGATCTGACAGTTTCCTCTTCTGAGGGTTTTTGACTAACCCTGGTAGTTATTTTGGCCACATATGTTAAATATTTTTTTTACCAGAGGTGAGTATTTTCCTCAATCATATACTCTTTTCTTTTTTTTTTCCAGGGTCCCCTTATTATTTCATTGGATCCCACTCTTTGGCGAGTGTTGCCCAGGCAGTTATGCTTTCTCTTGTAAGTTCCACACTAGCAACCACTTTCACTATAATTACTACAGGTTGCAACAGTCTCTGTCGAAATGGGGTGTTCTATAAGACCATCTAGGGACCTACCGGATGGTATTACGTGATTATTATGGACTGCCATTCATGCACTATCATGAGTAAAGCTAAAGGGGATCCTGCCCATCCCTGCCGATTTTCAGGTTGAATAAATCGGGGTTGGTTTGCTTTTAAAAATGTAGGGAATTTGGTTCACCTATTGCACAGTTTCCAGAGCACAGTTTTTCAGGACACCCCAATGTGTATAATCCCCTCTAAACTCTACTAGTGGAGCTTGGGAGTTCTTATCACCCCAGTTTCCAGTCACTGGGGTGGTGGACAAAGGCTTTTCCTCCAAAGTGTTCGAGTGTGTTCCTCCATTTTTCGAGAAGAGGGCGAACTTGGGGGCATCCTACTCGAGTTCTTGGATGTTTTTCCCAGTTGGCAGTACAAGTGTCAACAGCCTCAGCAGGAGCCTACTCATAATTCCGGTTCAGATTTGACACAAAGCTATCCGGTTGGAGGGTGTTTGGCCCTTCTCTATGATCCATGTTGGTTTTGTATATTGTTCATGGAAGGAGGTCCACTATCTCCTCATAATTCCAAATGTGATGTTGTCCCATCCTAGGTCCTTGGTCGAGTATAGGTTCCACATCCTCTCCATAATCCCAGGGGCAAGCAGAATACTCCTTGCCCACTTGGTTGGGGAGTGAGGATGAATATTCATAATTCCAGACCGGGTGAGTTCTGTTCCTTTGGTTGAGTACAGCATACACGATCCCGTCATTCCAAGCATGGGGTGTTACCTTTTGGACTTCTTCAGGTGGAGAAGAAAGTTTGTCCCCTTCATTGTTGCTTACTTTCTCATTGTAATTTTGGTGGTGCAAAATGCATTACTCTATGGCTACAGGTTGGAATCCAATCAAAAATATATATAACATGGCAGTCCAATAGTCCTAGCCACCAATGTGGGATATAGGTACCACAACCCCTTAATTCCAACCCAGAGTTGTGGAACCTCTGTTGTCTGGTTGGGGCTGGCCTATACTGATGATTACTCGTATTCTATTCCACCTTTGATATAGGAACTGACTTCCTAGTGAAGAGCATACCTGATCTGGATGTAGTGCAGTTCCCCCAATCTTGTACCATTTTATTTTGGTACGCTTCCATTCTATAGAGATGCTTTCTGTATGGTTCATGCCTGCACCAACCCCTCCACCTTCTCAATGTGAGTTTCTAGCTACAGTGTCAGCAGAGGTAAGTAGGTTTTGGAAGTTAACATTTTAATAGACTGAAAATGTATACTTACCTCTGCTGACACTCTCCTGCCATACCTCCCCACTAAAAGCTGGTTTGTGTTTTGAAAAAGTGATTACATTAACTGAATCAGGTGCTTATATACAATATCTAGATAGAGGGCGCATTGAAGTTGGAGGAGAAATTTACAAATTAGAATTTGCCGAGGGCATTCGAGTGGGGTATAAAAGACTGGAGCAAGTGTTTTCAATGCTTAGATGGGCAAAGAGTGGAAACCTTGGAGATTGAGAAATAGTTATAGTGCCAGTGGAGGTAAGTATGCTATGGAAATACATTTTCAGTTTAGGAAAATTTGAACTTTTAAAAAATATCTTATTAATTATATTTTTTAGTAAGTTCAGTTATGTTTACATATTCTTTTAGGGTTATCAGCAAAGAGACAGAATTCTTATATGGGTATTGAGCAGTTGCTTTGCTAGTGTTTGTTTATTACTGATCACTGAAAAATAATTGAATTTCATAGGAGACTTGTTTAGTGAAATTTCTTGTTGAAAATTGTTAGCAAATAACTTATTTTTGTATTTATTTCATGTATTGTATTGATTTGTTGAGTGTGTGTGTATGTGTGTGATAAGCTATTAAAGGTTCAGGGTCTGATCACCTACATTTATAAAGCAGTTATGAGCAGTTTATTGACCATTCCTTTGCCTGTGTTGTTGATGTAAATCAAAGAAGGCAAAGGTCCCAATCCTTGAGGTACCACAATTGTCACAGCAATCCAATTTCACTGAACTCCATTTATAACAACCCTCTGCTTTCTTCCACTCATCCAGTTTTCTACCCAATGAGCCAACCTATCCCCAACATCTACAGAGATACTTTTTTTTAACAAATCTTTTACGTGGCACCTTGTCAAATGCTTTCTGAAGATCCAGATACACCAAATTCACACCCATACCCGCATCAACATTAGAAGTAATCTCTTCGAAGAATGTGAAAAGATTAGTTAGGCAAGATTTTCCCTTAGTGAAACCATGCTGACCATCCAACAAAACTTTAAACTTTGTTAAATGACTTTGAAAAGCATCTTATGTCAAACTTGCAAAAACTTTTCCTACCACTAATGTAAGAGTAACAGGTCTATAATCACTGGAATAGTTTTTATTACCCCCTCGTCTTGAAAAGAGGAATAACATTAGCCAACTTTCAATCCTATGGCAAGCTGCCTGCTATTCAAGGACTTAAAAAAATATTATCAAGTGAGTCATATATCTAATCCTTAACTTTATTCAAAACCATTGTTGAAATATTATCTGGCCCAGGAATTTCAGCATCCCTTGAACTTCCCAATTTTTAACAAGCTTAGAATTAATGTGATCATCTTGTTAGATGTTGTTTCCATCTATCAACTGTTCAGGATGAGAAATATTGCTTATACTTACATTCATAAATATTGAAGATATGCGACTTTCTGTATCATCCCTAAAAGGCCTTACTCTTATCCTAACATTTTGGTTACTTTTAATGCATTTAAAGAAATCTTTATTGTTTATTTTTACATTTACAATCATTCTTTTTTATATATACCCTTTTCAGTTATCTAATGACTTGTTTGACCAACTCTTGATCTTCTATAATCCTGTAAGGTTCTCGTCATAACAGTAATTTTTTTCTCACTTAACATTATTCAAAGTTTTATGTGTTAGATTTTCTAGTGTAATGGATCAAAAAGAATTAAGTTACCTGCTTTCTGAGTGCAACTTAGAAATGCCTGTGCTATGACACCTGTAGTAACTTGTCAGTTATTTTTAAACTTTAGTAATAGTTAAATGAAGCATTGAAACAGAATACAAATATACAATAGGAGAAACAAACAGCCTGGAATTGTGTAAAATTTCACCAACATTAATATTGATGAGACGTTGTGACAAATAATCAGTGAATGATGAGAGTTGAATCATATACTACAGTGTTTCTGAAATAAAAGTTAGAGTAATTTGTCTAATTTACATCTCACCAAATTTTAATCAGATACACATGTTACATTTGGTATCAATTTGTACCAGAAAGAAAAAAAAAAAATCAAATGAGTTGGATTGCTTCATTTAAAATACTTTAATCACAGAGTGTTATACAAGTAATTGAGTTAACACAAGATCATGATGAAGCACTAGCTTAATGATAAGCAGGCCTGCTGCAATTGATTGATGAACAATCATGGGAATAGCAAAGTTTTGAGACACTATCTCATTTCAGCACACAGAACAGCTTGATTCTTTTGCACATCAGTCTATGAGATTTACAAGCCACTACCCTTGAGCTACCTTCCACCTAAAATCATGTTTAATGTTAATTGCGGTAGTGCATGTGGTGATCGCCCATCACCAATAGGAGGGCAATACACCCTCCTTTGCACAGTAATTTTATGGGGGCTGTAATATGTGTGTGTATCCAATATTCTTATTCTTGAAATTTTACTAGAATGCTATGCTAGTTAAAGAATGGCCAAACTGGAAATAAGATTTGTTACGTGGGTGTGTGCAAAAAAAAAAAAAACAATGTTGGGAGTGTGTTTTGCAGTTATAAGAACTTTCATGTTTGATTTTTGTTTAATGTTACTTGTAGGTTGTCAAAATGTTGCTGAAGCTTTTGGAGGACAAAAATGGTGAGGTACAAAACCTTGCTGTAAAATGGTAAGTTAGGATTTTCATCTTCAACATATTTTGGTTTAATGAACATATTTGGAAAATCCATACCATATTCACCATTGGATTGTTGGCTTTTATATGCATTTATCTATAAGTAATCTTGATGTTGCAATTGAGCATAGATTAAACTACATTTGTTATATTCTTGGAGTGTAAAGAAGAAAGGGAGAGAAGACAATAGTTGGTTCTTTCTCCTTAACTGGAAAAAATGATAATGTTTGTTAATGACAATGTAATGGAGTTCCTAATTATGACCAATGCATCAAAAGTGAGGAAAGTTTAATATTTTAAAGAATTATCTATATTTTATATTTACAAAACAATCATTTACGATGTTTCACTTGAAATTGTAAACATTGGTGTGATAACAGAAAGTGAAAAGCAAACTCTTCCCTGTTTCAAGTAAAAACTGTTATAGCATGTGGGCTAGATAAGGTTACAGTGCACCTCTGTCATCCCCCAGGATCCTACCACATCAGTGGCTTAAAGTGTCCTAAACATGAAAAAAGAAATTAACATTTGATATTTTGGGATGAACTACCTGTAGTAGTGTAATTTGTTTAAGATGGATGTATAGCATTTCAGCTCAAGACCATCAGCTTTTTTTTCTTATTTTAGGTGTGCTTATTATTTGCATAAACATGTATATTTAAGGTGAGATCTTCTATTATCAGGATAAAGAACTCTAAAGTCTTGCGTGTTTAATGTATTTTTTTGCACAAATCCAAGATGCAAACCGTAATGACAAAGATTTAGCTATCACATTTTAAAATGGCTACATGTGTTGAATTTTGAGGTGAATAAATCTGCTCTGTACATTTACAACAGTATTTGGAAAGGTGAAATGCACTATCTAACCCATGTCCTAATGTGTATGATGAAATTGAACTGTTTTCTTGCAGATGCAGTTTGTCAATCCCCAAAATATTTCCTAATTAAATTATTATTTTGCAGCTCATATCTTTGACTTGTTTTGTGTTTGTATTTGAAAGTATTGAAATAAAAGTTTTCTGTCATGTCCACTTACTTGCAAGCATAAATAAACATGGATCCCAAAAAGCAGACCTAGAAGAGGAAACAGAGGGACGATGGAAATGCAGAAGCAAAGAAAGGACAACTATGTGTAGTTCATTTCGCAGATCTAGAGTCTGACTCATTCACATTTGTTTCTCAGTATAAAGATTCAGACAAGAGACTTAGTAAACTAAAAGTAGTATGTGAACCAAAGCATAGCCTATGGACTCCTCTTACAGGACGGATGAGGTTTGTGCCCTTGTTACAAGTGAGGTAACAGAGGAGAATGGATATCACTCTGACTGCTACCAAACAACAAGATCACAATACTGCATCACCTTCAAAGTACATCTAAGCCTTCAAAGCACCCATGAAAACGTTTTGCAACACTCAAGTGACAAAACATTCTTTAATCCAAACTGCATATTTTACAATAAAGAAAAATGCACCAAACTCAATGAGAAAGGAGTTTGGTCAGCTTAAGGGACCTCAAAATTTGAGTTCAGTGGTTGGAAAACAGTTATTGAAGTGGCAGAAAGGAGAGGTGATGAAAAATTTCTTAGCAGAATAATAGCTCACGTCCTATTTGCAGTGGAGGTAGATTTTAACAGAAGCTGTTGGTAAAACATCTTGGAGATCTAGATCACTAGAGAAGTGATGAAAAGGATGAAAAAGAGAAGGAATTGTAAAAGGACTTGGAAGAGGCACATTGTTCTACCTTTCTTGAAGTGTATAAAGTCATCAACAAAGATATTCTATATGAGAAACATGTTCTGAAGCTTAATGACCTTTGTCAATTTTATTTCCAGCTTGCAAAATAAACTATTTTCGAACTCTTCCACACTTCATTTAGCTTGCTCGGTCTTTTGTTTGAATCTGTACATTGGGAAAAAACTTCGAATGAATCATATTTTGAGTCTGCAAAAGTTGTTCCTTCTTTGCTTTTGTGTTTCCATTGTCCTTCTGTTTCCTCTTTTGCATGTGCTCTTTCTAATCTATGTTCATCTGTGCTTGTAGGAGGACATAGTAAATGAAGCTGGGAGAAGACATTTATTTCAATACTTTCATGTATACACATACAATAAGTCGGATGTAACAGCTGTAAAATTGTAAATGAATCAACAAATATTTTTGGAATTGACAAACTGTCCCTGCAAGAAAAACAGTTTATCATACACATTAGGACATGGGCTAGATGGTATCACTGTGCATTTAACTATTACCAATACTGCTAGTATTTCATCATCATTCTTCAGAAAATAAATATCTAAATTAGATACATTTACCTCAAAAATCAACCCATGTAGCCATTTTACGATGTGATTGTTAAATTCTTGCCATTAAGGCAGTCATTTTGGATTTGTAAAAAATAAAAGAGTGCACATATTGAATATATAAAAGTTTGGGTTTTTATACTCTGACAATATACGGTTTGATGTTGTATATGCTAAGGCAGATTAGAAGTATAACTAAAGACAAATTTGTATTTTGATGGTCTCAGGCTATAATCTTATAAAGATATCTTTAGAAAATGTACTATTAGAAGTAGTTCATTTCAAAATGTCTAATGTTAACTTTTTTTTTTTAGAATACACTAAGGCATGTAAAAGCACTGATGTGATAGGTTCTTATAGAGGATGATGATAGCATTTATTTGTTGGAGCAAAATTTTCTTTTTTTTTTTTCCTTATCTGAATTGTTTCAGGTCTTAGATCTTCAAAGATATGAATTGTATCCAGTTTTTTATGAATATTTGAATGAAAATAATTTTCATATCACATTTATTTTGAAAGAATGTAATATTTTGTATACATCTGACTAGTTCTACCACTTGGAATATTTTTTCATGAAGTCAGATAAGTATGTAGGTTCAAAAAATTAATTAAAGACAAAACTACAAAATTCTATTACTTATGCACTTTTGTAAGATGGACTTTACTTCATCAGGGCAAGCTTAAGTTCAGGTTTTGTGGCATATTTTTTCATTTGCAAATGTACAATACTGTTTGTTGATTATATAATACTATTCAAATTTTAGTTAGCTGTTATGGTCTACATAAAGTGTAAGGTGTTTCATTGTTTGTACATTGTTGTGCCTTTTAGTTTGGGCCCACTTGTAAACAAAGTAAAGGAATACCAGGTGGAGACAGTTGTAGATACCTTGTGTAACAATATGGTATCTGAGAAAGAACAGTTGAGAGATATTTCAAGCATTGGTAAGAATTTGAACTTTATGTTGTGTGAATTAGATAATGGAATTTGATCTTCTTATTTCTCACAAGAAAAAAATTTGAGTTCCAGATGCTAATTATTACAGTTACAAAGCTTATACAAAATTTCTATAATGTTAATCTTTTTTTTTTGTGTGTTTTGTATTTGAGTAATTCTACTGACCTAAAAGCAGTGCTTGCACTTGAGTCCTGGTTTTATTGTAAAACACATGAATATTATAGAAATAAATGAACCTACAGAAATAATTTTTGAAACATTTTTAATGCCTCTGTTTAGACTACATCTGATTGATTTGTACCAGATGTCAGAGGTTGTATTAGGATTTTAGAAATGTGTAGACAGATATATATGTGAGACTAGTTGGTGTCTGTAGCAGTAGGCCACTTTTTATTTCTGGATGTCTGTAGCAGTAGGCCACTCTTTATTTCTGGATGTCTGTAGCAGTAGGCCACTCTTTATTTCTGGATGTCTGTAGCAGTGGACTATTCTTTATATCTGGATGTCTGAAGCAGTGGACTATTCTTTATTTCTGGGTAACTGTATCAGTGGGCCACTCTTTATTTCTGGGTAACTGTAGCAGTGGGCCACTCTTTATTTCTGGGTAACTGTAGCAGTGGGCCACTCTTTATTTCTGGGTAACTGTAGCAGTGAGCCACTCTTTATTTCTGGGTTACTGTAGCAGTGGGCTACTCTTTATTTCTGGGTGACAGTAATAGTGGACTATTCTTTATTTCTGGGTGTCAGTAATAGTGGGCTACTCTTTATTTCTGGGTGTCAGTAATAGTGGGCTACTCTTTATTTCTGGGTGTCTGTAGTGGTGGCTGTTCTTTATTTCTGTGTGTCTGTAGCAGTGGACTATTCTTTATTTCTGGTTGTCAGTAGTGGTGGACAACTCCTTATTTCTGGGTTACTGTAGCAGGGGACTACTTCATTTATTGCCAACATTGGAAATGTTTTTCAGAAAATAGAACAAAGATTATTGATTGCTTTACTGTTTGTGTTGAGTCAAACAAGTGATATCATAGTGTACATCTGTAAAGCTATAGAATTTCTGCTTCTCAGAACTTTTACTTCATGCCCATAAATTTATAGTTGTTGTTGTTTTTTTGCCCATTTGAAAAATATGTTTTTTGCCTCCTTTTTATAAAGCTCTGGTTTCATAATGAAATCTATATGTTGTTATAGAATTTAGTTATTTTGAATAGAGATGTAACATATACATTCTGCTAATGATGGTTCTTAACTAATCCACTGTAGTACATCTACTTCTGTATTCATGTTGGTTTTATAGTATGTTCCACTTGGGTTTTTTGTTAAATGCTTCTTCAACTAGTGATGTAAGATCATTAAACACAAGGCATTGAATAAATGCAACATGTCATAAGATTATAGTACGCTGTTAAAAGAACTAGCTGTATAAAGGTTCTGTGGATGTTAAATGTATGCCTTTAGATACATTTTGGTAGTGTAAGGTTATACATTTGTTATTAGAGTAATGCAGACTATATAACAAAATAGTTTCAATTGACATTAAGGTTTTTTAAAGGTAATCAGTTTCTAAATAAAACGTTAACTTTCAACATTTAAATATTTTGTGAACCATTAGCAGCTTATTTTGAAAATAAAAAGTCAAATGTAATTGTATACCTCCTGAAAATGTGTTTTTTTATTTATATAAAACAAAAATAATAAGAACAAAGAGGATATGATGCACAGGAGTAACAAGTTACAATGAAATATTAAAAAATACTATATCTGTGAATTAAAAACAGTTTATCTGTAACATTAGTTTCTTTAATCAAATGTACTTTAATCTTTTATCCCAAAATATTTGTGTGTTTTTTGTCATTAAGTAATATTTTGACAGGATTGAAGACAGTCATAAGTGAATTACCACCAACATCAACAGCACTTGTTGCTACAATTTGTAAGAAGATTACTGGGCGCTTAAGTAATGCAATCTCAAAAGTAAGTAAAATGTCTTTTTTTTTTTTTCAGTATAGTTGTGACAGTAGACAATAGTGTAATTCCTGAATTTAAATTTTTTATTACCTTATTGTTTCACTACCCGAGTCTTTTTCAGAAGATCTATTTACAAATATATAAAAAACAAACAGATTTCAACTACATGAGTAGAATCCAACAAAGACTGAAGCAATATGATGATAAAGAAACATAGTACCTCTAACAACATTTACAAGTTTGTACATATTTAAAAGAAAACTTTAAGTAACTTTTATATTTGGCTTCTCTCATTCACATAATATTCAGATGGCTTGTACTTACGTAGCTGGAAGTTTTGATGATAAAAGTAATTTTTTAAGGTAATATATCTACCAAATGTCTCAACTGACTTTTTTTTTGTTGACTGAATCTGATTTCCCGATACTAGAAAGAAAATACATATAACTAATGGCCTGAGCCTTGTTTGTTGTTTTTTTGTGTGCTGTTATTTTTCATAAAATGTTAAACATACAACTCATACAAGCCAGAACATTATACTTAGAAACTAAACTTTTAATTATATAATTAAATAATAATAATAATAATGAATAAGGAAAAAACAGTTCACAATCCATTTTATTATAAGGCCAGTCATTAAATCTTATGGTATTTAATAGGAAAATGTTTTTTTTAAATTTCCATTCCAGTATAATTTCTTTATGCTAAATTTTAGAAAAGAGTTGGAAGTTGCTAAGCTATGTTTGAAAATGTAATGATATGTAGTTGTTTTGTACATTTTCTCCTTTAATAGAGTTTGTTTGTTTCATAGCAAGAAGATGTTTCTGTTCAGCTTGAAGCTCTTGATATCCTCTCTGATCTTTTGAGTCGGTTTGGAGGTAATATATTTTTATGATTAAAGAGTTGAGTACTAGGTGACAATTGCATGGGTTGCACTGACCTTTTATCTGGAGACCAGCTGCCTTGCAATAGGTAGAAGTGTGTTCCTATAGTGATATTACTGGTTAATAGGGTATAAAGAACACCTGCTACCATCTTATAATTTAACCTATATACACAAGGTTGGTCCATTGGGCTGAACCCATATTGGAGGATTGTTTACCATCATTCTAAATTTACCTAGTGTATCTTCACAAAATGTGATAAGCTTTTAGTAAACATTACAAGTATGTTGTACACAGCATATCAGAATTTTTAATAAAGTATTCGTACTAATATTTGTCTCTGAATTTACTTTTGTCGGTCTGACTCGAACTCTTGACTAGTATGAGTGTTAGGTGATTTTCATTTTAAGCATAGCAATACTTTTTTCATCTTACAGTTTTCATATCTTATTTGCATAACCTCTAGAACTTCCTTAATGAGTAGCAAAAGTTTTTTTCCAATAAAACTCTATTTTATCTGTTATTTTCTCTACCCTAACACTATTTGACTTAGTCCATTTGCCCAACCTTGTAACCACCACAAAAAAATATCTAAGTTACCTTTTTTTTCTCTGTCTAGAATGACTGCAGGTTGTAACAGAAAATTACAATTATTTATCCTAAACAACCTCAGGTTCATAACAGTTTACTTCTGTATTCAGTTAATTTTATTGTTTTATTGGTCTTTGAGTCATATGTAACTACTGAGAATAGCAATAAAATATTCTGTGGGAATTCAGTGATGAGGAACCCACTTTGAGACTAATAATGGTTGGAGACGGCTTGAATGGGTTATGAAGAAAAACTTTAAAGTTTTTTTTCATTAACCATTCAAGCCATCTCCAACCATTATTATTTTGTAGAAATGCAAGAGAATTCAGTGTAAACAAAATTTCAGGTTATTTCACGAGACATCTAACTTATGTTCCTCGATTTTAGTCTTCACTCAATACAATCTTCTTGGGATAATGGCACTTTTCACCAAAATTAATTGGTATAAAGTTGTCACAGTCACATAGTTCATAAAATGGTCTTTATATTGGTTATAAACATGCACCATTAAGTTTTTGATTTTTACATTTCAGTTACTTTTGTTTAAAATAAAATATATAAATGAATAAAGGATACACAAACAATTAGAAATTTAGCATTTATTTTGGGATTGAAGCTTTTGGAAGCCAGTTTTCATTAACCCTAAATGTTTCTCGCTAAGTTGGTTGTCCAAAAAATAATTAACATAACTTTCAAATATACATTTTAAGGCACATAAAATAATTTAAACAGTAAAACAGAATGTCTTCAAACTGTTATAACTTACCTGGCTTTCTAACTGATGAATAAAAAAGGTTTGAGAAATTTCATTATTTACCAGAGCACCAATTTTGGTCTTCATCCAATAATATTTGCTTGTGAAATGGCACCTTTTACCAGAATGAATTGACATAAAGACATCGTAGTCACATAGTTCACAAAATATACTTTTTATTGATTATAAACAGGCACCATTGGCAAATAAGCATGAGTAAAGGAGTATTTTAAAAAGCATGAAAAGTTGAGAGGAGCTTTTGCAGTGGATGTAACAAAGTTATTGGTATCTCTTATTTTAAATTCTGGTCTGTCAGTATCTATTGTGGTTGTTTATTTAATTGGTGGAAATTCTGAACCCATATAAGGGAAGAAAGAAAGTAAAAAACAGAGAATTCAGAGCAGAGATGCATCGTGTGACACATAAAAAAGGAAGATTGAGAATTTATTTAAATTTTCTTTTTAAATTAAGAAATAGGAACTTGTATTATAAATTATGTTTTGATGCCAATTTTATTAACATACACTGATAATAAAAGTTGTTTAATTAAATTTTGATTTTAACTCTGTAAAAGTCATGACATGTACACTTTGACTCCCACCTATGCAAATAATGTAAAAAAACAACAAAAACTATGTAACTTTTAAAATGGTAGTGTTAAGTTTTCCCAAGTAATATTGAAAGAGATTTTTTTTCCATCCCAAGTTCCTCTTTCATGTTATTGATAAATCCTTCATTATTTTCTCAGCTTTTTTTTGTTATTTTATACAATTTAGGTCTCGGATATTTGTTTAGAATGTTAAATTCCAATTTTGTTAATCAGCATCTTTGTATGTTAGTGAGGTGTCATCTATTATTCATTAAATTTGTTTTTAATGTTAGTATGGTACCCTAGATGTGTGTGAAAATATTTGGTACATGTTCTTTTGCTTTAAACTTGTATCTTCCTTATTTCTCATTATTATCAGTATTTCAACTCTCAAATCAATTAATGCATGAAACTTCACTGTGTAAAAATATACGTCTAGCTGCATAATCGTGTCTTCCAAGTCTAGATTTTATGTTAATTTCATCATGACCAGTGAGTACCTTTCATACGTGGAGTGCATGCCTGCATATCAGTTTTTGCAATTTAAGTAAAAATAATGTTAACCCTCTTTCAACAACTTGTAACTTTTATTGAATGTGTTATTCACAAAGAAAACTGGAAAAGGTGTTGAAACTTGCATTTCTGTGCAGGTTGACACACTTATAAATCTTTTTATAATTTTTCTATCAGTACAGAGTATTGTCTATTTTGTTTTCATTTGAAAGTTCCTCTTGTGGTGTTCAGATTGACAAGCTTAGGTAAATATTTAAAGGCTCTTATGCTACCGTTTGAAAGCTAGATAAATTTGATAGTTATGAGACATTGTTTGCTCTGTGTGTTTTATTATTCTGTGTTCTTAGATGTGTTATTTAAGTAAATAAAGATTATTTTAATGTACTAGTATCATTAGTATAAAAAAGTAGGCTTAGATTTCATTGGCAATCAATAGAAAAAACAAGTGGTCACAGGTAAGTACAATATTTCTTGTTTTTCATGTATATTCTTTATTTATTATCATAAATGTAACTAAAATGTAAAAATGAGAAACTTATTAGGTTAGATATGGTTAAATTAGGTGAGATAATGAAAAACTAAATAAATAAAAATTCTTCAGTTGGTATGCTTGCAGCAGCTTGTTCATTACTTTATTCAATACTGTAATGTGAGCTACATGTTTGCCTAGTGGTTTACAAATTGTGTAGTGGGATTATTAGTTAGACATGGTTCAAAGGGAAATAAAACAGTAAAATTAAGAATAATCAGATGTATACTGTTATGAATTTTAAGTTATTCACAGTGTAGTTTCCTGTTACAATTTGCAGCCATCATGAAAAAAAAAAGGGTAGTTTAGATTAATTTTGTATTTTTCAAGGTGGTTCAAAGCTGGTCAAATTGACCATGTGCGTAAAGAGTTAGGGTAGAGAAAATAACAGGGAAGATATAAATTTCTACTGAAAAAAACGTTTGATATTTATTTAAGAAGTTTTAGAGATCATGCACATAAAACTTGAAAATTTTCAGATGAAGAATAGTATTTTTTTAATCTTAACATGAAAATCACTTTGAATTTGGAGCAATCAACACCCTGACACCATATATTCATGGACAAATTTTTAGTAAAAGTACTTAATTAAAAAATCTTATTTTTTTGTATACAAATGACTTGTCATTTTTATTGAAAGCTTGCAAAATTTTGTAAAGATACACAAAACGTATTAAAAGTTATAGAATGGAAACTCTGATGGTTACAAGGTCAGTCACTTTAACCAGCGGTGTATGGAAAATGTTAAAAGCTGTTGAAATTTTCTTCTATAACAAGACATCTGGTAAACCTAGTTAGGTTTAGCTGGTACCAGCTAAGGTAAATTGTGGTAAGATATTCAGAGGACTCAAATCCTTATTTATTTAATATTGTTATTTAATTTATCATATTAAAATAGCATAAATATGTAAAATAACTTGTTTTTATTGAAAATAAACTATTTAATAAATATCAAATGATGTTGACCAGGAATATTGTTAGGCGGAACATTATTTTGCCTGACAGAGGTAATGGTGACAAGCCAAGTCATAGGTCATATTTAAATTTTTGTCAGTTTTTGCATATTTTTATGATTTAGAGATAGAAGTGGTGACTACTGCAATCAGGATAAAAAAATATCAAAATAAATACGTTAATGAACATCAGTCACATTGTAACTGCCTGGATGTATAAAATAGATCCTTCTAATCAACAATAAAAAAACTGCAATGATAAAAGAATTATTTTTTAATAATTTTAATGTTTTTTTAAAAGCATGTCTCAAAACAAAACTTGGAATTTCACAATGTAAAAAATTATAGATAAAATAAGTTAACTTAAATGAATTAGTTTAAGACAAAAATAATAGTGAACTCGAAGAATTAAATTTAACTTGTCAGAACATAACTTTTTTGGGACCCATACTATTGATGAGCTTAATATTTTGCTGTGAGCCTTCTCTGAGCACTTGCACGTGAAAATAAATAAAACATTCACCTGATCTCAAGCCTAAGGGCCAAAAAAAATTTACATTAAATGATAGAAAGATGCAAGATTTTAATCCACGAACATTCTGTCATGTATAAGATATTATTTTAGTGCAAAGGAAAGTTGATATCCATTTTAAAAGTATTTTTTAAGTTTTTTAATTGGCTGGAATTGAAGTTAACTAATAATTTTGTTTTTACATGTTTGATGCAACATAAAAAGACTCATAATTATAGTAAAGTGTAGCTATCATTCTTCTTAAAGGTGTTCGGTTTTTTCACTGCTCTTGTTTTTAAGTTTCATCACATTTATTATCTTAAAAGGGAGGATGTTTTAACAGTTAATGTTGTGTCATTCTGTTTATTATTGCTATTTTTTTCATATCTAGTGTTGAAATTTAGTTTACTTTTCAAATTCAGTCGTGTTTTGAAAATTGGCGCAGCATTCAGTCTTTGCATTTGAACATCTGTTGTTAAAAAGTTCCAAGGAAGCTCTGTAAAATTATTGTTCTTTGTTAACATGTTTTTTTAATCAATTAATTCTCTTTTATAGGTCTGCTTATAAGCTTTCACCCAGCCATTCAGGAAGCACTCTTGCCTCAGTTATCCAGTCCTCGTCTGGCCGTGAGGAAGCGTTCCATAACTGCCATAGGTATGAGTAAATGTTGCTTGAATATAGTAGTTATTAGTATCTTGCAAGTTAATAGTAGTAGATCAAAATCATTGTACATTTGCTGTGCCATGATGTCATTTTTCATGTTTTGGATTAAATGTAAACAGTTTGAAATCAGTTTTATCATTCTGTTGTAGTGATTGTATAATTGTTTAAATTCCAAGTGTCTGACTTCAAATGAAGTGGTTTTAACTGTGATATTTTTTTTTTAGGCCAGGAACAATCATGAAAACATTGTAAATGTGTACAAGAGCATTACTTGAGCAAATGAGCTTTTAAATGTGGGTAACTTACAAAATTATTAGCTTATCATTGACTGACTTGTCAAGTACGATGTATGTCATGGTAGCCTGGTCTACCTATGCTCAAGCTTTGTGATATGACCTTTCTTGAAGTTGGTAGTTAGTTGTCTGTTTTGTGGTGGTGCACCAGCTGGTTCTGTCTTGGGACAGTGTGTCTCAGACATCTTGTGAAATGCTGCACTTCTTGAGGCTGTCTTTGAAGAGACCTTTCTTGGTATTTCAGTTATGGTTATTTATTCATGTGAGGTGTGTGGAGTACATCTTGTTTAGGAGCGAGAAGGCTTCTCGCAGAACTTTTCAAACAAAACCAAAGCTGTACGATAAAGAGATTGCAGTGAAAGAGACTTCTGCAAAATGAGAAACTGATCCACCAGTTCCACTCTATTACCTAACCAAGGATGATGATCCACCAGTTCCACTCTCTATTCCTTAACCAGGGATGATGATCCACCAGTTCCATTCTCTATTCCCTAACCAGGGATGATGATCCACCAGTTCCATTCTCTATTCCCTAACCAGGGATGATGATCCACCAGTTCCACTCTCTATTCCCTAACCAGGGATGATGATCCACCAGTTCCACTCTCTGTTCCCTAACCAAGGATGATGATCCACCAGTTCCATTCTCTATTCCCTAACCAGGGATGATGATCCACCAGTTCCACTCTATTCCCTAACCAGGGATGATGATCCACCAGTTCCACTCTCTGTTCCCTAACCAGGGATGATGATCCACCAGTTCCACTCTGTATTCCCTAACCAGCGATGATTATGGCAGAAGAAGATACTTCAGACAAGAGTGGCTTATTGTAAAGGGTGGAGAAACATCAGTTAGCTGAATATGCTGAGAAGATCTTGGGGCAGAAACCAATAGCTGATTCTCCCCCCTCCTTGTACGGATGGCCGTTGGCTCATCTGCCCTTGTAAACTTGACCTTGTTTTTGTCCTGTGTGGTGTCTATACACACACTCCTTATCAGGCACAAGTTCTGGTTGGGGAGCAGGTTCGATTACCAACCACTCGACCATGCAACAGGTAATACTGGATTAGCATGAATGCTGACAACAAGCATGTGACCTGACCCAACGTCATATCAGCTGATACAGTGCTATTAAATGTTGGTACTCTCCTTGTTGCTTTGGTCTTACAGACTCACATTCTCTGACCTGACCCGACGTCATGTTAGCTGATACGGTGCTGTTAAATGTTGGAACTCTCCTTGTTGTTTTGGTCTTTTAGACTCACATTCTCATATACGAGCTCAGAGTTAAAAATAATAACTCTATTTAAAAGAGTGCATATGAATTACTAGTGTATTGTTATAATTTTCAAATAGGACACATCATTAAGAACATTTTGGTATGATGTTGTAAATAACAAGTGTAAGTTGGTTTATAGTTAATAGGATTTTTTTAGATAACTTATAAAATTATGAGTAAAGATTTAATGTTTGAGTATGGAAGCATATTATGCTAATGTAATAATAAGTTTGCAAATGTAATCTTCATAAAAGTTGTTTTGGTTTTAATAATGGATTTTCCATAATTCAGCTATGCAGACTTTGAAAATAATATTCATTTTTTTCTATCATGTAAGAATTTTTTACAAATCAAGAAGAAAAAACAACTCTTATTTGGATCAAATTATTATTTCATTTATCACAATAAACATTTTTATTATTATGTTTGTTAACAAAAATACAAACAAATTGAAGAAAATAGAAGAACATTGATGTCAAACGGATATGCATCCTCATTCATCCTGATTTTTTTTGTGGAATCTACATCTTGTAGTCTCAAAACTACATGTTGTGGTCTTTTTTTATGTACTGCATTATGATGTTTTGGGAAATATCTGTACGCGATGGAGAAAAATGGATATCAGTTTTGGATTCAGCATACAGGAATTACTGTAGAACATGTAAAAATTTCAAGAAAATAAAACCATTGCAGGCCTGTGTAGTTTATAAGCATAATAAAGTGATTTATTCTGGGGAGAACACTCCACATTCATACCTGAACAAGACATACCAATGTTCTGTCGAAACAAATAGTATGCTTCCCCAAAAATAAGTCACTTCATTATGCTTATAAATTTTTGTTTCCCTACTTATTAAAACATTGAATTCATTTATTATTTAAGTTTGACGACTTACAACTAGAGATATTACCTTTTTTTATGAAGATGATTACCTTCCTATTGATTGAAGAACATTACATATTAATGTTGCTTATTCCTTATGTCTGGTTTTTGCTATTTATGTCCCACTGTAGCAATGTATGGCCATTGAAGAGTAAAACCTACATTTTTTTTGTTTAGGTTACTTAGTAATGAGCTGTAGTCAAACCTTATTCAATAAACTTATTGACACTTTAAAAGAAGAACTTGGAAAAAACATCTCAACCACTAAAACTTATATTCAGTGTATAGCAGCCGTCAGGTAAGATTTTTTTCTGCATTTACCTACTTCAAGAATAAATATTTAGAAAATTGAGAAATCAATTGAATAAACGAAAATCCATTGATAGCAACAACTAAGTAAATACTGTTGTTATTTTCATTCATTACCTTGTGAAAACCTTGTGATATTTTGATCATTAGCAAATTATAGACTAATCTGTGTAATATAGAATGGAATAAGCACATAACATTTTCATAAAAATTGAGTTTATTTTATTACTTATCTTAACTGAAATTATTTTTTTAAGTTAAACATTTTGAAATAAATTCATGTTACAATAATTTTTCACACTTTGTCCATTACTTTAGTCGACAAGCAGGTCACAGAATTGGAGAACACTTAGAAAAAATTATGCCATTGGTGGTAGAATATTGCAAGTATGATGATGATGAACTGAGAGAGTACTGTTTACAAGCATTTGAATCTTTTGTGAGACGCTGCCCAAAAGAAATCTCACCTCATGTTCATACGGTCAGTTCTGTTTAGATACTTAACCCTTCACCTACTGGGGCTATTTTGTCTTATTGTGAGGGCAAAATCATATTTGTGAATTTAAAAAAATTATAGGGAACTTATCTTTTATTGGATTTCAGATTTTATTTTTTGTAAATAGTAGTATAACATTCAATCATTTGTCCTAAATTGAATTATTTAATGAAGTTTGAAGAGAAGTTTAATTTAATAAAATTCAAAAATACGTTTGAGACTATAAATAAGTGCCCTCTAAGAAAATTTTTTTTCAACATTTTTAAAAAATTTTCCTTGCATATTAGCACTAGTCCTGCCATCTATGATTGGTATCTAAACCTTTTACTAGTCTGTTTTCTCAGTTGTAAAACTTTTAGCCAATCCTAGTTAAAGGTGTCAATTTCATTACCATGTTATTCCAATCGCTTTATTTCACGTTTGACAAATCGCAGGATAATAAGCAAAGCACGTGATGAAACGTTGTTCTCTGGATTTTACAGTATGAACGTGTGTGGTGCTTATTGTATTAACCACCATTTTATGTAGAGGTTGTATTTAGTAGTGGTCAATAGTACTTTTTTATAAGCCTTAGAAAATTTGCTTCTGGAAAAAACTGCATGGGATGTATGTGACTTTTATTATTTTTCTGTTGTAGCTTAAATCATGCTATATTATATATCTATTTATATTAATCATTATGTTGAAATATTAACTCAAAATAGATATATTTTTAGGAAAGAAGTTGATCCATGAATGTTAGGGTTAAGATCTATCGAGTGGCGAGTGCATGGTCTTAACACAAATTAGGCTTAGCAGTTTTAACTGAAACTGTTTGTGATTTTTATATTCTTTTGCATATAAATTGGTACTTTTAAGTTCAATAATTTAGCATAATTTTATATTTAGCTCATAATAAATATATGATTCAGTATTTAGAATGATAACCTTGTGTGATTTGTATGTACTACTAGTACCACATAAGAATTTTATATTTTTCCTTCTTACTGTCTTTACTTTGTAGTAAGACTTACACTTCTTTTGTTGTTGCTTTATAATTAAAACAGTCTAACTGATATATAAAAAGCTTATTCTGATATTTTACAAATGGTTTTAAACTCGGTGTACAAGTGACAACATTAAAAACCATATATTGGTTGTGAAACAGACTAAACACATTTGTCTCAATAATACAGGAGAAGCTGTGACATTCTCAGAGTTGGGATGTCAATACACTGAAGAGCTTAAGTTTCGAATTACAATATAAATCTTGTCTGTAATGAGAGAAATGTGACCAGGACTAATCTTTTAAGTGCTGTAAAGTGATTTTCTTTGTAATTTATGGTGTCTGTATCCTTTGATAATATCTTGTAACAAGATGTATCAAAGCCCATGCAAAGCTGGTAATAGGCCCAGGCCAGATGGGAAATGTAGGCCTCATTTCAAACTGCTCATTAAGTATTTTTGTAATCAGTGCTAAATATATATGATTTATGTATGAGTATAGACATGTAGTGTACACGATGTACTTACAAGTAACAGAAACAAATAAATGAACTAGAACGATTTATAAAAAAGGTAATGGCAAGCAATTTTATTCAAAATGTATATAAGACAATAGAGTACAGTATTGTAATAAGAAGTAAATACAATAGTACATTCATGTTTATTCTGTAATCAGAAGTAGGCCTCTCAAAATCGTAGGCCCATGCCAACTCCCCCCCCCCCCTGTTCTGGCCTGGATGTATCATGTAACTAGGGTCAGGCAGTATTATTCAAACCAGCTATATTGTATACTATTACATACATTTACTAGCAGTGGCAATTAGTTTGTCTGTATAATGAAACAACATACAAGAACATATGTAGAAACAAACTTGTTTGAAAGTTCAAAGAAATGATATTCAAGTATTGAAAAGCTTTCTTACTATCATATCTACAGTAGTGTTCAAATGCACCTACACTAGACTGAACAAAAGTGACCTCCAACAGGCATGATAGTTTACGGTAAATGTACGAAGTTCATGCTGCTAACCTCACGGTTTTTCCGCACAATAAACAAAAGTACGGCTGCAATGAAACATAAACTTGAAATAAAAATACATTTATGAAACAAAATTAAAATTTTTTTATGTTCTTATATAAACATGAAATCCTAGTTAGAAGAAAAAAATTTTTTT